GTCCCCCTGCTGCGGGGCGCCCCAGCCTCTCCCTGCTGCGGGGCGTCCCCAGTCTCCCTGCTGCGGGGCGATGTTTGTTGGTTTGTCTCTCTAGACACTTTACAAGGAAAGGACGGTTATTTTTAGGTGGTTGTTAAAATACGGTATTTATTATTGTCAGGACCCTTGGATCTGTTCCCTAACGTAAACTGTCAAGCATAGTGCTGAGGTTCGCTTAGACCCTCGGGAGGCAATAAATGACACTTTGAATGCGGCATCGTTGGCTTTGGGTCTTTGACGGGAGGAGTTGAGTAACTGACAACTCGCACGCGGTCCTCGGACACGGTCCAGCCTCGCGAGCAGCTGAGAACGGCGAGCCGCACGCTGTTCTCCTGGGCCGACCTGGGAAGGAATACGGGTGTGCGAAGGTGTGGGGGCCTCCCGTGCCTGCAGATCGGGAGATGCGTGCGGGGTGAAGATGTACAGAGAATTCCTGAGCGTGGAGAGAGGAAGGTGCACGGGGAATTCTGGGCGTGCGTGGAGAGAGGAAGCAGGCAGCACGGAGTTCCAGATCTCCATGAGCACCACACTTGGATGGAGACTGAACCCCTGAAACGCTCACCCTGAGATCACTGTACAGCCAGAAACTTCCCCTGTGACTATTTCGTTTCACTGAGAGTGTCGCCTTGAGAGCTCTGGGAAGAACGAACTTGTTTGCCGCCCCTGGTTCTCAGAGGCAGTAAATCGCACTGGAGGAGATGCCCATCCTGTCCACTGGGGCTTAAGTTGGCAAAAGCTTAAGATAGGAGCCTTAAGAGGCAGTGTGTGTCAGTGGGAGGAACACTCAGTAAGGGAGGGTGAGGGTGCTTACACCGCTCAAAAGAATGAAGTCATGTACAACAATGAATGACTGGAAATCCAAGTTCTCTATAAACTTTCATTAAAATCTCAATTAAAAAAAAAAGAATGAAGTCACTGTCACTAAAATGTGGAAGCTGTCGGGCTGGTATGTTTTGGTGTGTAAACTCAAAAGCAACTAAAGAAAAAAAATTTTGAAGAAACATATCCAGATCACAGTAGTAGAGAATCAGGCATTAGTAGACAAATTTAAGTGAATAGAAAGCATACAAATTCAGGTTCATTCGAGATTGGTATATGGTACAGGTAACAGCATCAGTGTTGTGGGTTATTTTAATTTTATTTCATTACTTTTTGTGTGTACCGTCTAATCAGATCTGACTGATACAGGAGGAGATTGTTCCTCCTTCTCCAGCAGAGCATCTGGTGCATTTGAACCGTGTACCTCTGAGATTGCAGTGCAGCTTCTTGCCACTAGGCCACCAGAGCTCACCAGCATCAGTGTTTTAAAAGAGAGAAATGATTCAGTAGAGGAGGCCAAAACCATATAAAGCTCATTTGGTCTCCATTCACCAGAAGCAACAGGAAATGCATGTCTGGTTGTGTCATGAACAGCTGCCCTCTTTGCCCTGAGGCCAGAAGAACTGGGTAGGCCTGGATGGCATTGCTAAACATTTGCATCAAAAATTCTATAGAAGAATTCTCATGAGAACGTTAGTGTCGGTGGAGATGCTGAACAGAATTTTACAAGCATTTTAAAAGAATTAGAGGGTAAAAAAACCTAGAAGCACTTCTACGTACTTGTCTAACACATTGTTGGAGTTTGTTGCTGAGTCAGTTCTGATTGGGGGGAACTTGTGCAGACTAGAACTGTTGCGTAGGGCTCTCAAAGCTGTAACCTTTAGGAAGCAGCTCAACAGGCCTGCTAACCAAGGTGCTGCTGTCGTTAAGTGCCACTGAGTACAGTTCATAGTGATGTGATGAACGACAGATGAGAACCATGTCCTATCCTGTGCGGTCCCTCTCATCTCTAATACACTTAATCCCACTGCTGCAGCCACTGTCAGTCCATCTGGTGGAGAAACAGCTCTCATGTGCTACTCCTCCACCTTTCTAAGCATGTTCTTTCCTAAGGAAGAGCCTTTTATAACAGTATGCCCAAGGTAAGTGGAAAAACCCTTCATCATCCTTACCTCTAAGGAGCACTCTGACATCACTTGCTCCAAGACACATCTGTTTGTTGTTTGGCAGTCCATGGGACACTCCTCTCCAACACAACAACTCAAGCCATTGATCTTTCTTCAGTCATTCCTATTCATTGTCTAGCTCTCAAATGCATAGCAGGTGACTGCAAAGACCCTGGCTTGAATCAGGTGCACTTCAGTCTTTAAGTTGACATCTTTGTTCTTCAGTGCTTTGGAGAGGTCCCTGACAGCAGACTTCCCCCGTGCAATAGGTCTTCTGATTTTTTGATTGCTGGTACCAATGGTGTTGGTTGTGGATTTAAGCAGATGAAATAAGTGAAAGCCTTCAGTCTTTTCTCCATCTGTCATGATATTGCCTATTGGCCCCATGGTGAGAATTTTTGCTTTCTTGATGTTGAGATGTCGTTCCTATTGTAGGCTGTAGGCTTTGATCTCCTGCAACAAGTGCCTCAAGGTCTCTCTTCCAGCAAGCAAATTAATCTGCACATGTGTCATCTGCATAATGAAGGTTGAAGAGTCTTCCTCTGATCCCGATGCAACATCATAAAGTCTTGCTTTGCAAATGATTGCTGGAGATAAAGCTTGAACAGGTATGGGAAAAGGATACAGCCCTGACACATGCCCTTCTTGGTGTTAAACCATGCAGTGTTCCCTTTTTCTGTTTGAACAGCAGCTTGTTGGTTTAGGTGTGTTGTTGTTATGTGCCATCGAGTTGCTTGCAACTCATAGCCCTGAAACCTGCTCTATCCTGTGTTACCCTCACTCTGACACACCTACCTTCATTACCCCTGTCACTGGGTCAATCCATCTCATTGAGGGTCTTCCTCTCTTGCTCTGTCCCTCCATCCTCCCAAGCATGATGTCCCTCTCCAAGGACCGGTCCCTCCTTGCAGCATGTCCAAGGTATGTCAGACAAAGCTTCAGAATCCTTGACTCCAAGGAGCAGCCTGGTTTCACCTTCTCCTGGATGAACCTGTACTAATGGCAGTCCATGGTATATTCAGTAATCTTCTCCAATACCACAGTTAAAAGGCATCAGTTCTCTTTCTGTCACCCTTAGTCATTGTCCAGCTTTTTTACGCATAGCAAGTGGCAAGTGGTTTCTGTATAGGTTTTGTTAAGCACAATTAAATGTTCTGGAATTCCCATTCTCCTCAATGTTAACCATAATTTGTTACAGTCCACATAGTCAGTGTTTTTGCATAGTCAATAAAACACAAATAGACATTCTCTGGTATTCTCTGTTCTCAGCCAGGATCCGTCTGACACCAGTAATGATATCCCTGGTGCATGGCCTCTTCTAAACCAAGCTTGAACTTCTGGCAGTTCTCTGTCAATGTACTGTTTGTTCTAGCTGTCTTAGGATGACCTTCAGCAATATTGCTTACATGTGATATTAACAATATTTTTTAATAATTTCCACATACCATTGGAAGAATGTGGAAGGTGCTTCTAAGGAGGTTCAAACTGCCTAAGTTTTGACAAAGTAATTGAGTGCTTAACCATTTGCAAAATACAGTAAGCTTTCAGGAATATTTGTTGGAGGAAGAAAAGAGAGTGAAATTTGATCTGAGATTTGAACAGTGAATTAATGAAGGAAAAAAAACAAGCCCAAACCCACTGCTGTGGAGTCAATTCTGACTCTGGGAGCCTAGGACAGAGCAGCACTGCCCCGTAGCATTTCTCAGCTGTTAACTCTTTTTTTTTGTTTTTGTTTTTGTTTTTAGCTGTTAACTCTTGATGTGAGGAGACAGCCCCCTCTTTCTCCATGAGGTAACTGGTGAAGGTCATCATCACCTGGTTTGTAGCAGCTGAGCGCTTCAGCCTCTGTGCCACAGGTCCCCTTAGTGACCAGGGAAAGCCAGGACCATCGGTCAGTTCCCACTCACAGCGACCCTCCGTCGGGTTCCCAAGGCCATAAATCTATGAGGGGATACTGCCCATCGTTCTCCTAGAGAGCCAAGTCCAGTTTGCCAGCCTATAATATAGTACCCCACCAGAGTGCTTCGTCATTAACTAGGGGAGGACATTCGCGCTAGAGGAAAGAGTTCTGTGGATCCTTGGAGAAGGACATCATGTTTACAAAGGTGGACTTAACAGCGGGCTCAAGTATATCAGAGATGATAAGGATGGCCCAAGCTAGTTCAGATTTGTTGTTCATAAGAGTTGTTGGGACCACGAGGGAAAGGACTTGCGTGCTGAGATTTAGACGTGTGCCATGAGCAAAGTAAGGAGGCAGGCCGCTTAGGTATAAGAAGCAGGAACTCCATGAATGGAATTCCCAAATCTCTGTAGATGTTCATTGAAATAAAAAAAAATAATTAAAAATGAAAAATTAAATTTAAAAAAAAAAGGGCAGGAACTCAGAAAACCGAGGAAATGCTAACGTGACCAAGTAAATGTCTGTGTACACAGTGTTCCTGGATACGGCGGCGTGATATATAAGGCGGGAACTGCAGTGCCAGCGGTAAGTCCACAGAACTGTGGTATTTGCTTATCAATTACAAACAAAGTGGTTTTTCTTCTTCTTTCAGAAGGATAATAAATGCGGACGGCCAAGAGCAACTCTTCTCTTTCTGGAGGAGTTGCGCCCCCGACCCCTTCTTAAAGATTAATTTGTGTCTGAGTTCTCTTTCAGAGAACTATTGCCCCCCCCTGCTCCTGTGTACTGTGGCACTCGGCGAGCATAGGGTCACTATGAGTCACATTTGACTTGACAACACATAACAGCCTATAAAGAACAGCAAACTGTTGAATAAACCAGAGCTTCTAAGAACGGAAAAAAAAAATGTCTACATGTGAGTAGACAGTCAGATACACAGAGTAGTCCATTATGAGACTAAAGAAGTTTGGCAAGAGCTTGATTCTGGAAAACCTTGTTAAAGCTTTATTTTTGAAGGCCTGTAAGTGGGAGTTTATAAGACCAGATCTGTGCATAATCAATAAAAGTAATAATCAAAAAGGTAAACATCTTTCTGGCAATCTTTGCTTTCAGCCAAGACCCCTGGTCATTAGGAGGTAAGCTCAAAGCTGGTGGCCCAGTCCTTAGGCTCTGCTAATCTACAGGCCACCCCGCTACAGCTGTTTAAGTCCAGTTGTGGCTCCTCCAGAGAAAGATGGGCCCGCTCCACCTGTGTGATTTACAGCCTTGGAAAGCCAGTGGAGGGTCAGCTATGAGTCACTTCCAACTCCAGGAACTGCAGTGGAAGTTTGAGTTGTATTTATGTGAAGTTATGAAGTTGGTGAAGCAATCAATAATCTAGATTCTTGGTTTGAGCAAAAGTAAAAGATAGTGCCATTGATGTAATAGGAAATAAAAACAGAGGAGATGGGAGATGC